CAGGAGCGCAACTTGTGGACAACCAAGTGACAGTCCTTGTCCACCAGCATCCGGGCTCCAATCCTGCCTGGTCCCTGCTGGATACTGCTTTTAGGAGTGCCTCTGCAGCGGGCTCAGCTCCTGATGAAAGCTATCTGTTCTGCGACCAAAACTGTGCTGTGTTATAGAGACTCTGAGTGAAGCTTGGGGAGCCTTCACCTTGTCAGTCAGGTCCTGTTGGCCCCAGTACTTCGGGCATCAGTGCAGATGGTGGCTGCTACTTGAGATGGCCACGTGATCTTTTCTAACCCACGCTTTGTTTCTGAGACTCTCTAACAACTCCTTGTTTCTTGCTGGCTAGGTGCCAACATCTTCCTTACCTCGTCTGGACTAATCAAACTGGGAGATTTTGGGTGCTCAGTGAAGCTGAAGAACAACGCGCAGACCATGCCTGGCGAGGTGAACAGCACCCTGGGGACAGCAGGTAGGAACCACTGGACACAGCAGGACTAGGGACTGGACTCCCTTCAGTGCCGCTCCACCCCCGAGTCCTGAAAATGACCACTGCCTTAGACCCTGACAACAGCTGTTAACACTGGCAGTTAGTGACTCAGACTCATTGCCATGGAGTTGATTCTAACTCAGTCACCTCACAGGACAGAATGGAACTGCCCCAGAGGATTTCCAGGGCTGGTGATCTGTGTGGGAGCAGATAGCCTTATCTTTCTCCCGCCAAGCAGCTGCTGGGTTTGAACCCCTGATGTTACAGTTACCAGTCCAGTGTGTAACCCGCTGAAGCACCAGGAGCCCTTTACTGTTGTAAGAGGAAGGAAACGCCACCTTTCCTTTCCAGAACAATCTTTTTGTTTGCATTGGTTTATCGAACAATCCTAGTTGGAACGGAACGAAGGCTAGATGGTCATTTCATAATCGCCTTCGTAGGTCATATTTACATGAATATTTGCACCTTCAGTAATCATCTTTGAAAGGAGAACTCTGCCCCAGAATTCTGTGTCTGCTACTAAGTAGTGTGTGCTACTAAGTAGTGTGTTCGCAGTGTCTGCTACTAAGTAGTGTGTGGACCTTTTGCTGTCGTGTGATGCACGGGTCCTGTCCCGTCACACTAACTCCATGTCTGTGACTTACAGCCTACATGGCTCCTGAGGTCATCACCCGCGCCAAGGGGGAAGGACATGGGCGTGCTGCTGACATCTGGAGTCTTGGCTGCGTCGTCCTAGAGATGGTCACTGGGAAGGTGAGGCCCTGGGGCTGCCGCTGCCCTGCTCTGTAGAGAAAAGAGACACAGTAAGGGCACAGTAATGACAGACTGAGAAGCAGCTACTGAAACAGGTGTGTCAGCTAGAGAAGTTCTCTCAGAAGATATAAACAGCCTCACGCTTGCATTACATGGTGAAGAAGCAGTTACAGCCACCAAAAAAACCACAATCAGCTCGCCTCACTAATCACCAACATTGTCCATTTCAAAGGGAAATTTTAGTTTTTACTTAGCTTATAAGTGACGCTTTTAAGAACTAATGATGCAGTCATGGGAAAGTAGACATTACGAGTGGACTTTCAGATGGTGGAATTGCTCTGGAGGACAGGTTTTCGGGGTTAACTGGATCATTCCCAAGTTTTCTAAGTGTGCACCCTTAAACTAAGACGTGTCCACCTCTGGGAGTGTGTCTTTCGATGGCGACACCTCGAATGAGCCCTGGTACCCGTGTGTAAATGCTCACACGGGCACAAGTCAGCTCAACTATTTACAGCTGTACCAGGCTTCGAAAGGCACCCAGAGCACAGGCTCAGTAACTGTTGGCGGTGCTGTCACTCAGTGGTCCCATGTGGCAGAGCAGACTGTCCCCGAGGGTTTCCTGGGCTCTCTCTCAGAGCCATTGGGTGGGTTCGAACTGCTTTACCTCTTGGTTAGCAGCCACCACCAGGGCAGGGCTCCCTGCTGTTAGTATTAAAACAGGAAGATGGCCATGTATCAGAGAATCAGGTCCCACACCAGGGAACTCCCATGACAACAAGCAAACACTGCTCCCAGGCTCATAGTGCTCTGCAGACTGGATCCTGCCAGGACGCCACGTTGTACGCCAGCAGGTGCCACTGCTCAGTGCTGAGCCACATGGGGAGCGTGTGACAGGTCCTGCAGGATAACTGTCAAGTGTCACATGCTGTATGAGATTTGTCTTTCATACACTTTCATGCATTCCTTGTTCAATTTAGATGGTGATCACTTTAGAAAATGCTGCACTAGTACATCCCAGAGAGATGGGAACACAGCTGTTGTCAATGAGTTACCTGTTGTCTGTGACTACTGTCACACTACACTGGGAGAATGAAGAGTTGTGACAAAAGCCACCTGACCTGCAAAGCCAAAAGTTCTTCCTGTCTGGCCCTTGAGCACCCCCGCTGCACATCGCTATCGAGAAGCCTAAGAAGACAGTGCGTGTTTGCGTTGTCAATGGCCACGTAATAGTAAAACCTGATTTTTATCTGTCTTTTTAGAGGCCTTGGCATGAGTATGAACACAATTTTCAGATTATGTATAAAGTGGGGATGGGGCACAAGCCTCCCATCCCTGAAAAATTAAGCCCCGAGGGAAAGGACTTCCTCTCTCACTGCCTTGAAAGTGACCCGAAGGCGCGGTGGACGGCCAGCCAGCTCCTGGACCACGCGTTTGTCAAGGTCAGCCCATTCTTGGCTCTTGTCCTGTTCCCTGTTGGCCTTCTGAAGTGGAAGGATATGTTCTCTTCATTCATGAATGTTGAGTGACAGTCTTGTTTGGGCTGCCTTTGTTGTGAGGGACGTCCAGACAGTGAAAGGGCATTAAAAAGAGATAGTTTGCCCCTTGGGAAGGAGAGTCCGGAGCGTCGAGGCAGACTGGCTCAGCCTCTGCATTCGTCCAGCCCAGTGATTGTACCAGTCAGTGAGGAGACTCCATCTACTCAGATCCTGTTTCCACACTGTGAGCTGTCTGCGCTAGGAGTCGGGGGTCAGCCAGGCCAGGAGTGGGGCGAGAGAAAGCCAGAGCAAGGAAAAGCCGTGGACGGCACACAGTAGACCTTGATGGAGCAGCAGGGTGGGAAGTGGCTACAAAGGTCGGCAGGAGCCACACGCAGGGACTCCATGGGTGTGTTAGAAAGATTGTTCTGGAGGCCAGCCCAGGAGGGTAGGGCATGTGGAGAGGGGCTGTGACCGAGGGACCCAGAGGATCAGAATGGGAGCCTGGGAGGCATCGGGGTGGGGGGCGGGAGGCCGCAATTTCAGTCCACTGCCCTGTGGGTGGTGGGTTGTGATGAGCAGCTGGAGCACGAATGCCTTCCTCTCAGAAATAAGTTGTGACCAGTGTGGGGTGGCTCCCCGGGGTTCACGTGGCCATGGAAGGCGTGTGGGCCTAGCTCTGCTGGGGGCAGTGGGCTCGGGTGGCAGATTGGAGGGACACAAATGCTGCTGGGATGGATGGTTTGTAGAGGAGTTCCAGGGCAGTGGGGTGTGAGACGTTCATGAGCAGCCCGGGCACTTGCTACAGAACAATCTTGTCTCTTAGTTGCAAAGTATCTAAACATGTCCTGTGGCCCCCTGTATGCTTGTACATGTATGTTTTCTAGAAATGTGATCAGTAGTCACTTCATAGGCTTCGCTTCAGACCCGTGCCAGCCCCAGAGCTGTGGGGTGGGGGTGGGGGTGGGGGCAGATCCTGTGACTCGTGGGTCTTCTGTGCATGTCATGTGGGCTGAGCTCTCTCCCGCCTTTCCCACAGGTTTGCACAGACGAAGAATGAAGTGAGTCGTGTGTGTCCTCGGAACATGCTCTGAATCACTACTGTATGTAATATTTACATGAAGACTGTGCTGAGAAGCCGCGTGAGCCTTCCCCAGCTTCAGGACTGAAGGCTGCACAGGTGTCGCGCCCCTCCTGCTGCTCCTGTTTGTCCTTGGCACAGGGCCTCCTGAGTGAGGGTCCCCGCGAGGTCGAATCGAAGACGCTGCATGCTAAGTGCCATTACTACTGTACACGGACCGTCGCCTTGTCCTCTTCTCGAGGGGCGAGAACCCTAGTCTCACCATAGTGTTTTTTGACCTTCTTAGGCTCAAAAGAAGTGGTAGTGTTGTTGGGCGAACCTTCTGGACTTTATCGAGTGCACTGACTGTGAACCCTCCCTTCTTTGTCGTTGGCAAGCTTCAGATTATGCAAAAGGCCGATGAATGAAATTTAAGATAAAGGTTCTTTTTTCAATAAATGGTTTATTTTAGGAAAGCTCAGTGCTACTGTCTTTCCTTTGCCGTCAGCTAACGCGCCCACACCCGGGAAACCAGAGGTCTGTCATCCTCACTCCCGTGCGCCTGCGGCACGAAGGATGCCAGGCACGCCTGAAGACAGCACACCTGTCACCCATGCGCGCACGTGTTGGTGCTCAATTTGTGTTTTTTGTTGTTTTTTAGCTTTTGTGAATTGAGTGAAGGTTTACAGACATGAGTGTGAGTTTTACTTCAACAAATCATGCACTTTGTTTCACCTCAATGACTGCACAAAACAACAGGTCTCCTGCTTCCTCCCTGGGCTTCCTACTTCCATTCCACCCACCTTCCCGCCCCTTCTCAACTTTGTCCTTAATAAATGGTGCCCTTTGATCTTGAATGATTGACCATCCCATGGGGAGCAGACCTTACTAGTGTTGTTGTCCCCCCTGTGTACCTATCTCCTGCTGGGCTGAAAGTTGGGCCACCACGGTGAGTTCCTGCCCAGACCTGAGGGTGGTTGAAGTCCGTAGTTTCGGGTGTCTCCAGTCTCCTTCTGACCGGTAAACCTGATCTTTCTTTTTTTTTTTATAATTTTGAGTTTGTTACGCATTTTCTCCCACTCTATTCAGGACCTTCTAAAGTGGTCTCTTTCAGAGGAGGAGTTGGTAGTGGTAGTTGGATGCCATCCAGTTCTGCTCTCAGAGTCCTGGAGACTGATGCTCATGTGTCCTTCACTCTCATTGGCTCATTGATTCCAGGCATCTTCGATTCTCATCCCTCTTCTGTCTTCTGTACCTGGAGAGACCAGTGAGGGTGCTCATGAGCATGTCAGGTCTCAGACGCTCCTCACCAAAGGAGGCTGGCGAGCATTGTCTTTATGGACTATGTTACGCTAGTTGACCAGGGTGTCTTTGGGGCTCAATGTATGTTTACACAAAGATGTGTAGGTGTTAGGTAAATAGAGACATGCTGAATAAGCTCTTATTAAGAAGGCATCTTTTTCAGAATGAAAAAGTTGCAGCAGATAGCTTTGTAAAATTGTCCAAATGCCATGTTATAGATCCTGTCTCTTTATTATTATTATTATTACTGATTTATTTTTTTTTGCTGTTTTTCTCAAGATTGCCATTCTAAATATTGTTAGGAACTCATGGACTCCCTCCCTTCACAATAGATTTCTTTCTGTCCACCTCCCAGGTAGTGGTGTGGAGCCTTCATCTAAGAAACCAGTGTCCTCACAGTGTTGTGGTCACAGGAGGGCTTACAGAACCCCTAGAATTTTGTTGAAATGTTTTGACAGCTTTTTGGAGCTATCATTTGCATAATAGTTGTATAATTTAGTGAATTTGAGTATGTCTAGGGAGTTCTGCAACCGTGCCCACAGTCCAACCTTACAGCGTCACCATTGCCCCGAAAAGAAGCCGCATGTCCTCCTGCCATCACTTCTACCCACTGCCTTTGACAACCGCACTTTCTGTCTCTAAAGATTAGCCTTTTTTGGAACTCCCATGGAAATGTTGTTAGGTGCCATCGAGTTGGTATCGAGTTAGTGCTGCTTCATATTGATCCTATGCACAACAAAACGAAGCACTGGCTAGTCCTGTGCCAACCTCACAATCATTGCTATGCCTGAGCTCATTGCTGCTGCCACTGTGCCAATCTGTCTTGTTTGGGGGTCTTCCTCTTTTTCGCTGACCCTCCACTTTACCAAACATGATATCCTTCTCCAAGGACTGGTCTTCCTGATAGTATGTCTGAAGTTTAAGAGTCTCGCCATCCTGGATTCCAAGGAGCACTCTGGCTGCACATCTTCCAACACAGATCTGTTGGTTCTTTTGGCAGCCCATGGTATTTTTAATATTCTCCAACACCATAACTCAAAAGCATCAGTTCTTCTTTGGTCTTCCGTATTCACTGTCCAGCTTTTGCATGCATAAAACACTGTGTCTTGGGTCAGGCACACCTTAGTTCTCAAGCTGACATCTTTGCTCTTCAACATGTTCAAAAGATCTTGTGCAGCAAATTTGCCCACTGCAATATGTCATCTGATTCTTGGCTGCTGCTTCCCTGAGTGTTCATGGTTGATCCTAGAAAAATGAAGACGTTGACAATGTCAGTCTTTTCCCCCATTGATGTGGATGTTGTTTAGTTCATAGAAATAAGATCTTGCCTGTTTGACTGTCACTAAGTGACACAGTGAATAAGGAAGACCGTAGAAGAATTGATGCCTTTGAGTTGTGGTGTTGGAGGAGAATACTGAAAGTGCCATGGACTGCCAAAAGAACCAATAGATCTGTTTTGGAAGACATGCAGCCAGAGTGCTCCTTGGAGGCCAGGATGGCTAAGCTTCGTCTCTCATACTTTGGACATATTGTCAGGAGGGAACAGTCGATGGAGAAGGATGTCATGCTGGGTAAGATGGAAGGTCAGAGAAAAAGAGGAAGACCTCTAACGAGATGGATCAGCCAGGTGGCATCATTTGATGGTGTCAAGTGTGACAGCGGTAGTGAGGTTGACCCAGGATCAGACATTGTTTCGTTCTGCTGTGCATGGGGTCGCTATGAGTCGGTTCCGACTCGATGGCACCTGACAACAACAACAAGTGACACATGTGGTGCTTTACATCGTGCCTGGTGATTTCACTTAGTGTGATGTTTCTGAGGATCCTCCATTTTGTGGCATGTTTCAGTACTCCATTCCTTCGTTATGGCTGTGAATAATACTTACCACAGTTTCTTTACTGTTGGTTGATGGGCATTGATTTAACTTTTGGGTTTTATGAAAACTGCTCTGAACGTTTCCATGTAGTCTTTGTGTAGACACATGTTGTCATTAATCTCAGCATGGGATTGCTGAATCATATGGTGAATCCGTGCTCAGCATTTTAAGAAACCGCCAAACCATTTTTCAAACTAGTTATACCGTTTTACACCCTCACCAGCCATACCCGCGAGCTCCAGGTTCTCGATTCTCATCAGCACTTGTTCTTGGTTTTCTTTTTGACAATAGCCATTCTTTTATCTCTTGTGGTTTCCATTTGACTTTCCCTAATGTTGTCCTGGAGTCCTGGTGTGACACTCTGGGTTAGTGCACTGGACTGCAAAGGCAGTTTGAACTGCAAGGTCAGTGGTCCAGACTCACCAGCTTCTTCTTGGAAACTCTATGCAAGGTCCCTGTGAGTTAGAACCAGCTCAGTGGCACTTAACAACAACAACAATGATGTTGTCCTTCCACCACTCATCTGGCAGTTTGTCATACTGTGGTGGCTTGTGTGTTGCTGTGATGCTGTAAGCTATGCCACAGGTAATTTAAATACCAGCAGAGTCACCCACATTGGACAGGTTTCAGCTCAGTTTTCCACACAATGACAGACTAAGGAGAAGGAGAGACGACTGCTTCTGAATAGTCACTGGAAACCGTATGAATAGCAGTGGAACATTGTCAATACCAGAATACTGAATACTGAAACATGATGAAGACCACCAGAATATGGTGAGATATAGTGCTGGAAGATGAGCCCCTCAGGTTGGAAGACACTCAAAATACAAATGAGGAAGAACTGCCTCCTCAAAGTAGAGCTGACAGTGATGACATAAATAAAGCCTTCAGGACCTTCATTTGCTGATGGGGCATAACTCAAAATGCAGAGAAACTGCTGGAAACATCCATTCATAATTGGAACATGGAATGTATGAAGTATGAATCTAGGAAAGTTGGAAATTGTCAATATCGATATCTTAGGCGTTAGTGAGCTGAAATGGACTGGTATTGGCTATTGTGAATCTGACAATCACAAGGTTTACTGTACCGGAATGACAAATTGAAGAGGAATCGCATCGCATTCGTCATCAAAAAGAACATACCAAGATCTGTCTTGAAGTACAATGCTGCTTGTGATAGGATAATATCCATACTCCTACAAGAAGACCAGTTCATACCACTATTTTTCAAATTTTTGCACCAACCACTATAGCCAGTGATGATTAACTAGAAGAATTCTACCAACTTCTTCAGTCTGAAATTGGTCAAAGATGCAATCAAGATGTATTGATAATTACTGACGATTGGAATGAAAAGCTTGGAGACAAAGAGGAAGGACCAGTAGGGGGAAAATATGGTCCTGGTGCGAGAAATGGTAATGGAGATCACTTGGTAGACCTTTGCAAGACCAGTCAATTCTTCATTGCAAATATCTTTTGTAAACAATATGAAAGACAACTGTACACAAGGACCTCATCAGACGAAATAAACAGAAGTCAGATGAACTACCTCTGTAGAAAGAAATGGTGAGAAAGCTCTATATCATCAGCCAAAATAAGGACAAGGGCAGACTATGGAACGACCATCAGTTGCTCATATGCAAGTTCAGGCTGATTATAAAGACAAAACAAGTTCATGAGAGCCAAAATATGACCTTGAACGTATCCCACCTGAACTAGATCATCTGAAGAACAGATTTGATGAATTAGACACTAAAGGACAAAGACCGGAATTGTGGGATGACATCAAGAAAACCATACAGGAAGAAAGCAAAAGGTCATTAAGAAGACAAGAAAGAAGGAAAAGATCAAAATGGATGTCAGAAGAGACTCTTGAGACTTACTTTCCAGTGTAGAGATGCTAAAGCAAATGGAAGACATGAGGAGGTAAAAGAAATGAACAGAACAAAGGACCGCTTGAGAGTACAAGGACCTGGTAACCAGACGTCAAAAAGGAAGAACACCCTCAGCATTTCTCAGGATGAAAGACCTGAAGAAAAAAATCCAAGCCTTGACTTGAAATATGGAAGGATTCTATGAGTAAAATACTGAATGATGCAGAAAGCATCAAAAGAAGATGTAAGGAACACATGGTCACTGTACCAAAAAGATATGGTCAATGTTCAACTATTTCAAGAGGTAGCATATGATCAAGAGCCAACAGTACTGAAAGGAGAAGTTCAAGGTGCCCTGAAGGCGATGGCAAAGAACAAGGCTCTGGGAATTGATGAAATAGCTCTGGAAGTGCTCACTCGTCTATGCCAAGAAATATGGAGGACAGCTACCTGGCCAACTGATAGGAAGAATATAGTATTCGAGCTCATTCTAAACACAGGTGACCCAACAGAATGCGGGAATCATCAGACATCATCATTAATATCACATGCTGAAGATAACTCAAAAACGGCTGCAATCATACATTGACAGAATTGCAAGAGGTTCAAGTCAGATTCAGACAAGGATGTAGAATGAGGGATATTATTGTTAATGTCAGATGGATCTTGGCTGAAAGAAGAGACTACTAGAAAGATGTTTATCTGTCCTTTAGTGACCAGGCTTTCAAGTGTGTGGATCCTGACAAACTATGGATAACATTACAAAGAATGGGTATTCAGAACAACTTAATTGTGCTCATGAAGAACCTGTACATAGACCAAGAGGCA